GATGCCACATCAGTACGACCCCTAAGATGTAACTGTTGCTTCCGCAGGAGTCTGATTTTTTCACCAAACTTATGGTACCGGTCTCCGCCCCATCTTGACAATTTGTTCCCACAGTGTGTTATACAGTCCTGGATCCCTTCACTCCTCCCCTCCTCCCACGACTTCTCCACCACATTCCTGCATCCATCATCATACAACCAGGCCATTTCAAACCGAAACCCTCTCCTTCCTCCTCCTCCGTTTTGTAACAGTCCATAGACACTCAAAAATAATGCAGAATGATCTGACCTCCTCATTAGATTATTAATCACCCTAGCCCCAGGCACAATGTCACGCCAATCATTAGATGCTAATACCTTATCCAATCGTTCTTCAATGCAAGCTGGTGTACCCTTTCCTTTTTCCCAAGTAAACCGGTAACCCTCCATCTGCAACTGAGTCAAGCCACACTGGTCAATAGTCTCCCCAAAGCCGCGTAGGAGATTATTAGGGTGTGGATTACCTCCTCTCTTCTCGTGCTGGAATAGGAGATCATTAAAATCCCCAATCATAACCCATGGTAAGGTGGACCGGGATGCAAAGGACTTTATCAACTCCCATGCTTCTGCCCTCCTATGGCGCTGAGAGTAGCCATAATAACATGTCATTCTCCACCTCGGAAAGCTAGGCATTTTTACTTCAATATCAATGTGATTTCTAGAGTAACTCAATAAACTTGCTGTATTATTCTTCCGCCATAACAGTGCTAAACCACCACCACCCTGCGGTGTCGGATCAACATAAAAAAGTCCCTCAAAACCAAGGGTGACACGAATTCTTTCAGCATGTATTCGTTGCACCATTGTTTCCATAAGAAAAATAAAATCAGGCTTCTTTCTGGACGCAAGGTCCGTTAATTCTCGAACTGTTCGTGGATTGCCCAAGCCACGACAGTTCCAGCTGATAGTACTCATAATGACGGGCGGGTCTGGGAACCAGAACCCGCCATGGACAAGTTTTTTTGGATCTCTGTCATAATCACATCTCCACCAACTCTCTCATCACCCCCATCATTGGCCTCAGCCCTTCTTCTCTTGCTCGCAGCCGTGACCACATCACCTTCCACCTGGTCACGTGAAAGCCCAGTTGGCCCCCCTTCCTGCCCATCAACCCGTGGCCTATGTACCATATCTGGCCGTGTTCCTGTCATCGGGTTGCCATTCATATCAAGTAGCCACGAAGCACCCACTTTTCGTGGTCCTTTTCTAAAACCAGCACGTAAACTCTCATCATACGGATATTGCTCTACCGGTAGTTTTGCATCCCGCGCCTTCAAACAGTACTTATGAAGATGCCCCATCATACCACAGAAGTAACAAAAGTTGTGTAATCTTTCATATTTGAAATTTACCCAACAAGTCGTTTTATCCCTCTTCATTAGTTTCATACGCCGTTTTAGCGGTTTCAAGACCGAGATTGAAACCCTAATCCGGTAGAACATCTTCCAAGGTGCATTCGCGAACCTATCATCAATCTTGATAAAAACACCCAAAAAATTTCCTACCTGCTCCAAAATAAGATCCGAGGTATAGCCCAACGGCAAGTCATGCACCTGTATCCACATATCAACCGAATCCAGCGGTACCGAGACCGGTATCTCACCATCGTGGATTTGCTTGCAAACAAAAGTGTGGTTCTCAAAGGACCATGGACCACCATCTAGAACCAACTGAATGTCTGTGTCATGGAAGAACACAAAGAGAAACAGCCCCGGTTGCAATTCTGAGACCCGAACCCCCTTCACCGGCTGCCAAACCGAAGCCATGACCTGACTCATGTACTCCGCCTTCACAAGCTTGGTAGTTAGGAACCTACCAATTAGCCGCCACGTTGGTGCTGCCTCGGCCGGCTGTTCAGCGCCTTCCTCCACCGCCGGCACAAAAACATCGTCTTCTTCGTCGTCCAAGACCACGTCCGCCCATCGGCGGCCCAACGCCGCCACCGCCTGCTGCGTCGCCGCTTCTTGCTCCGTCCCTTCCATCACTGTTACGCCGTCACAATACCCGGAGAGAACGCCCGATTTGCGCCGGAAAACCTTGAAACACAAGAGAGAGAGCGGAAAACCCTAGTAAACCCTAGAGAGAAAATTTTTAATATAAATTCCAATTATGTTGTTCTTTTGATTATTTAGATCATAATAAAACTTAATATTTCAATTATACTTTTGCAATATTGGTATGATTTATGTCGTTATGCTATTAATATTTTTTGTATGTATTTTTATAATAGTAAAATTGTACATTACTTTACAAATTTTATACCATTATTTTTTTTATCGGACAAAATTATTCTTACATCATTGTCAGACCTGCGCGACCTAACTACAAAGTTGTTGATTATAAATATAATTACACCTGGAATCTAAAACGGTGAGACCATTTTCCAAAGAATTGACAATGTTGACATCCCATTGGCTCTAATTAAACAAGTTTACACATCAGAATTTTATCATTATAACAATATATCATGAAGAAATTTGTAAGTTAATTTTTACTATATCATTATAACAATATCTATTGTAACTATATATTTTGAATTATTTATTATCATCCTCTATTTACAGGAATTGTAAAAATCGTCATTGACAAACTCTCAAAACAATTCGTCTCAACAACGAATGTAAATTTAAAATAAAAAAAATCAATGATTTCATTATTGTTGATGAAAAGTATGTACGCTACTTTATTACTCTTATTCAATTAAATAAATTAGTAGCTACAACAAAAAATAATACATGCATTTAATTAATTTAGAACTAGATGTCTATAATGCCTTTATTTAGGACATGTACTGAAGATGAAGACAATGACAATGCTATCCAAACGAGAATTGAGAAGAATTAGAGAAATTTAAACCAAAAGTAGTATTTATTTAGACTATCGTTTTTAGACTAGCGTTATTACAAAGTTGCAAACATTTATTTTAGTGACAATATAATCAATCTCTCATATATTATAATGCATTTATATACTTTAAATTATCGATTTAAATAAACAAATTTAATATTTATTTACCTATGTATGAACATCTCCGATATAATATATATTGCATTGATATACTTTGAAATACTTGTTTAAAAATAATCATTGAGCATTATTCCATTCGTGCAAAGCGCGTAAAAGAATTAGTAACAATACAATAGTAAATTTCAATTTTGATTTTGTGACTAAGGGAATCTGGTTAATTACAATTAATAATTTTGTAAATTGTTAATTTAGTATCTTAACTATTTAATTTTTATTAATTTTGATAACTTCAGTCAAATTTTACCACAAAATATTAATATTAATAGGTAAAATAATAAGTATATTTTAGTCACTTTATTTCTTTTTTTTTTTTTTTTTTTAAAATTTGCGACAAGTCCATCTCAGATTCCGGCAACCGCCATTTCAGCTTGGTGTATGCTCATCTTGTTTTTTCTGACGAGTCCATTGTTTTTGTATCTTCGATTTGCCTCTTCGCACCAAAATTTCTCCTCTTTGCTTCTTCATCGGCTACTGTCCATTTCCTTTTTTACCCTCCCATTTAAATTTCAGAGGCGATATAAGCTTCAAATAGATATATATGGGTATTATTGATTCTGAGAGGTTAAATTATACTTCGTCCGTCACATTTTATGTATCTGATTCTATTAACGAGGTTTGATTGAAGTTATTTTTAATTCAATTTTTCATAATATTAAGTTTAGTATTAATATACAAAATTTATATATTTAGAAACGATATTAAAAGTATTATTAAACACAAAAAATCAAATTTAAAAATAAGTAAAAAATAATATAGAAAATAACAAAGAAGAAAGAATTGGTTTGACCAAAGAATAATAAGTAGGACAGATAAAATGAGACAGATGGAGTATTAAAGAAAGGATCAAAGACGAAGACGAGATTTGGAGTGGTAGGAAGTGGGAACTCCTGTGGCGGTTTCTTGGGCGGTTTGCCGGAAACTAAGATTGACTCGTCGGAGAAGAAAGAAAAGAGAAATAAAATGACTAAAATATCCTCATTATTTTACATATTAATATTTTGGAATAAGGGTCACAAATAGGTCATCCAACTGCACACGACAATGCAATTAGGCCACTGAACCTAAAAAATTAACAATTAGATCCCTAAACTAACTTAATTCATGCAATTTCTCCAATTTGCAAATTTCCAATAGGTCATCTCAATTAAATTATTTTAAAAAAATAAAATTTTAAAAATAATTATTTAAAATTAAAATTAAAATTTAAAAAAAAAAAAAAAAACAAACTTCCGCCCGGAGACGAAGAGTTTCTTCGTCTCCAACTCCATCCATGGAGACGTCTCCGTCCAGACGAAGATTCGTCTCCATGGCCGGAGACGAAGAATTTCTTTGTTTGGACGGAAGTTCTGTTTTTTTTTTTTTTTCCTATTATTTTATTTTATTTTTATTTTTATTTTAAATAATTATTTTTTCAAATTTATTTTTTTTTTAAAATAATTTAATTTGGATGACCTGTTATTATTTATTTATTTTATTTTTATTTTAAATAATTATTTTTTAAAATTTATTTTTTAAAAATAATTTAATTTGAATGACGTGCCGGAAACTTACAAATGGGAGGAATTGTATGAATTTGATTAGCTTAGGTACTTAATTGTTGATTTTTTAAGTTCAGTGGCATAATTACATTATTGTGTGCAGTTAGATGACCTATTTGACTGTTATTCCTAATATTTTTGATGAAATTTGACCACAATTTGACATGAGTTATCAAAATTGATAAAAATTGAATAACTAAGGTACTAAATTAACAATTTTAAAAGTCGTGAATTGCAGTTAACAAGACCTCAATAGTCATTTGACCAAAATTGAAATCTACTCACGATACAATTATAATTTATTATACCAACTACAAAAAAAATACTAGCAAATGCATGTAAAAACTTTTTGAATAAATAAGAAAAGACTAAAATACTTGCAAATAATTTCAAATAGTTTATGCACATTTCATTTTTCTAAATACTTGATCAATCACAAGTTGCGAAACAAGACGATTGGCGTGTTGTGTGAGATGTGTCCCATCCCAGCTCACAAACCGGTCCGGGTTAGAGCAAACCGGAACGCCCTCCGATCCACACGTTTTCTTGCCGTCGAAATCATATTTCCCTCCCATTCCGCAGCACGCTTTGAGCAACGATTCCTTCTCGAATCCGAGAGAAGACCCCCGCCGGAGAACTGACCGGAGAGCGCCGTAGTAATCGGCGTAGACGATCACAGTGTCGCCGGGGAGTTCTTCGCCGAGCGCAGAAACAGCTTTCCTAAGATGGCTATTGTAATAGGAGGAGTAGTCGTTGAATTTCTTCAGGCATCCCAAATCATCGTAGGCTTTCGGGTCGGAGCTTCCGAAAGCGGTTAAGAAAACGGGCAAGCATCCGGACGCGTACGTGCCCGGAACCACCACCCGCTTAGCTCCGAGTCCGACGACCCGTTTAACCCCACGGATAACGGCGTTAACTATATCCGGGACGTACGTCCTAACTTCCTCAAGGGATTTGCCGCGGAACACGGCGCTAGAGTAGTCGTTACCTCCAAACGCGCCAAAAATGAAAAACGCATATCGAAGCCTCCTCCTCACGCACTTCGACCGCGCGTGGCAGGTAGAGTTGAGGTGCGACTGGAACCACCGTAGTTGACCGCTGAGCGGCGGCCGGAACGACGGGATGCTAATGTTCTTCTCGACGAAGAACGCTTGATCGAGCGCCGTAGCTCCGGCGACCGCGAAATTAGCGCCGTGAGTGAACGAAGCGTTGAAATCCAGGTAAGGAGGAATTAAAGGAAGATGAAGTGCGGCGGCGATGTAGTCGATAATGAGGCGGCCGTTGGAGTAGCGACCGGTCGGGCGGTGAAAGAAGGATTGGCCGTAAGGTAGGCGATCGGCGTGGAAGGTGGAAACTGCGCCGGGAATGCGGATTAAGTTTCCGGTGTCGGCGAGAGAATCTCCGAACTGGTAAATGTATTTGAAAGAGCAGAGGGACGACGGGGAACCAGAAGCGTAGACAAAAGGGAAGAGAAAGATAAACAATGCAAGGTAGGTGGAAGGAGCCATTGGAGGAAGAAGGAGATGGAGATCATTAGATCAGAGACGGCTATATATTTATATATAATTCAACTTTTTTTTTTTGGAAAGAAAAGTTGAATTATATATTGTATTATTAGTAAAAATCCAAAAGAGATAAAGTTGTCGTATCACATTCAAATTACTTTAAAGATTTTGCTTTTAATGGCCTTTGGTGCGGTCATGGTCTTAGAGGACTTAGAGTCTAGAGGTGGCTGCTTTAATACAGTGATCTTGTCCTTAGAGGAAAATATTATTTATTGTAAGTGTCTGGACTACTGACTCAGTTAGAATGTACTTTCTGAGTTTGAACCTGTAAGTCTGTAATCTCTTATTTGGGAGAACCATAGTTATGCTGTTTAACCACGAGGTCTTTTGGCTTTTTTATTATTTATTTATTTTGATTTTAAATAATAGTATTATATTAAATAATAAGTAGAATATCATCAATTTTTTTCTTGCATTGTTTTTATTTTTATTTTATATATAACAGGTATGTATGAAATTATTAATTTGGATTTGGTTCAAATCATGTAACAAAATATACTTAATTTGGATTAACCAATCAACACGCGTATAGTACTTTAGATTAGCTAGCTTACTGTACAATTGATGAATGAGCTGAGGATCGGATCTGAGAAATGAAGGCTGTCCCAATGCACGGCCGGCACGGGAAGATTCCCAACACCACTATCCGCTTAGCTCCGAGCCGGACGATCCGTCGGATTCCATCAACAGTTGCGCCGACGACGTTCCACCGCCAAGGGAGGAGAAGTAGTCATTCGCGCCAAATTCTCCAAAAACGAATTGAAGGGAGAATTTTTGAGTTTTTTTTCCGAACGCGCAGCGCGTGTTCGGAACGTAGAGTTGAAGTGCGTATTTGCTCATCGGCGGTTTGAAATTGGATGCGGTAACGGCCATCGGGAAGACGGAGTAAGTTTCCGGCGTCGGAAAGGGAATCGCGAAATAGATAGATGCGTTTGAAGGATGGAAGGTTGGTAGCAAAAGCTATATGGAACACAAAGAAGACAGTTAAAAGGAAGTACATATATAATAATATAAGAAGCCATTATTGCAGATTCCAGCAGCAAACTGATGATTCGCCAGCGCCTGCATATATATAAAAAGGTAACACAATATTTTTAAATTTTTTTTTCCAGAGATGCTTGATTGATTGTGAAACTATGAATTATAAACAATATAAGGAATCTGGTTGAGAAGATGGGAAATGCAGTAGGAGATCCGATAGAATCAGTTCTGAGATTTCGCGAGCGAGCATGTGCCTTCATCTAATGTCAACTCCTCGTCCTTAGAAATCTTGACTTTCGTGCATGTGCCTAAACCCCTCTCATCTTGTAACTTCAAAATTAGGTTTTGAACGAAGACTTCATAATAGTTGTAGTTTTTTGGGTTGAGTTTCACTAGAATCAATTTAATTCGACTTTTCTATATTGAGATATAATCATAATAATACTGATGGGCAATAATCATTTTAAACATAAATTTTAACTTTGTATGTAGACTTTTATTCAATCTTTTGTATTGATTTGCCTAATAAATTATCAAGACCATTCAAACCTGCACTATTTTTAAGCTTATCGAGGAATGCTTTAGTGCCCCCGGAGTATAGCCGTAATTGGTTCGTCTCAAGGTCATGATGGGAGATAGCAGTATGCTGGAAGGTCTAGATTAAATTCTTTGTGTGCATATTAAAACTAAAATCTAATTGGTGAGCTATTTGTGCAATTCGCGATTTATTTTCGCAAGTACTTTGGAGGTGAGATTCTATGGACTTAGGAATTAGTTAGGATTAGTCCAGCGAAAGTGGAATCATTTATATATCATGTGGGCTTACAATTAATATAAATGACCATTTAATTGAATTACAATTTGAAATATATTATATATGTTAAATCTAATACTCCGTACAAAGTTTTTTTTTTTGAATGCCGGACAAAGTTATTTCTTATAAATTATTAATTATTATTCAATGACCTTGTAGTCAAGTAGCATGAAATGGCTTTCCTAAATGGGAGGTCATGAGTTTGAGCCCCAGTGGAGGAATAGTACACTGGCTCTGTTTGGCAAACCTAGTTGAAAAGGAGCTGAAAATTGAAGAGCTGTTAAACTAGCTGTTATGATTGAAAGTGTTTGGTAAAATTAGCTTTTTGATAATCTGATAAATGTAAAAAGACTAAAAATGACATCTTCATAAAATTTAAATTAGTTTGTTTACATATTAAAATTTAACATTTCGTCTTCCAAAAAAAGTAAACACTTTTTAAAATAAAACTATTAACATGATCATGATCTAGCATCCCATAATGAAGTAGCAATATTGTTGCGAATCTCCTTCATCTCCATAGAGGTGTGACTTAAATTTTCGTTGATGGAGATATTACTACTTGAATCTTGAAGTTCATCGGGCGGTATATAATCTGGATGCTGTTCAAGCACATTAAACATCATGTCATCTTGTGAATTCTTCGAATATAATTATGTAGTGCAAATGTGGCCATAATAACATCAATTTGGGTCTCCTCACTAAACTGCGGCATTTTAGCAAGTATCTTCCATCTCTTATTCAATACTCCAAACGGTCTCTCAATACAACTTCGAAGAGAAGAATGTGCACGATTGAATGCTTCTTGAGCATTAGTTGGCGACTCTTGTTCAAATTGAGATTGAAGCCATATTGCTAATTTAAAAATAACAACAACAACAACAACAACAACAACAATAATAATAATAATAATAATAATAATAATAATAATAATAATAATAATAATAATAATAATAATAATAATAATAATAATAATAATAAGCTAAAGTTTCAACATAATTGTTTAGCAGGAAGCAAGACTAAGGAAGGGATTGACGTGAAAGTTGGGATAGGAAAGAGAAAGAGTTTTAATTCATAAGGTTAAAATAAGCCATTACTTTAAAATAATAAGGGTAAATATGGAAAAAAAGTTAGGAAGCTAGTAGCTTATTTTGAAACGCTACCTAAAATAGCGTTCCAAAATAAGCTCTTATTTTAAGCTAGGAGCTTATTTTGGGAACATTACCAAATATAGCTTATATCTTATTAGTAGCTTAAAATAAGCTATAAGCTCCTAGCTTAGCGTTACCAAACAGAGCCATAGGAGATTAAAAATGCCCTTACTTTTAATTTTAAAAAATTAACTACCTTAAAGCGTTTAATAGAGTGGATGGGCACGACTAAAATTAATGGAGTCTTGAGGCCCTCACTTTTTCCACATCAGTGGAAAAAAAGCTCCCCTTCTTCTTATTTATTTATTTTTTAAAATTTTTGTTATTATTATTATTATTATTATTATTATTATTATTATTATTATTATTATTATTATTATATTCTTTAAGTTATTTTACATGTTAATCGCTAACTTAAACATTTAATTTTATCAAACATGTTTTTACAAATTACTGATACAATTTACTTATCAAACTCGCTAATATAATCCGCTATTTGCTAATCGTTAACACAATCTGCTACCTATCCTAGCTGTTGGCAAAACAAGGCCTTAATCCAAGTAGGTTAGTTGTCGTGTGCAGGGCACCGTTGATTCTCAAACAGAGTTAATGATCAAAATCATGTGTGCGAAATGTAACTAGCAGCTACATTTATGGATATTCTCGATCCACTCCAATAATATTATACGAAAATAAAGTTAATATATTATTACAAAGTATATATTTTAACACGTGATGAATATATTATAGTTTTAATGAATTCAATTCAACATAAAGTTAACTGTAGATGTATGGCGGAAGCAATGTCGTTTAAGGAGGCTCTCTCACGGATAAATTAAAGAATAATGGATATTCTCAGATTCATATTCAATTAAATTGCTAGGTCTCATGTAGGAATATATTTAGTCGTGTCTGTGTTAGTTCGTATGTTGAGTTTGTTTATGACGACTGTGTAGCCTTGCTTGACTCCATGCTTGCAAGATAATCTTTTCCAACCTACAAAATAAACAAATAGTGCTAAGAAAAAAAAAAAAAAAAAAAAGAAGAAGAAAAAAACTTCAGTTGTAGTTTTCCAGGTGTTCTTGCCAAGCCAGACAACAATTGGAAGATGTAGAATTTAGGTTACATTTTGATAAATTTTTTAAATCTCAACTATCAAATCATGTTTTCAAATTGAAAACTTGTACTTATTAATTAATTAATTTTTTTTTTTTTTTTGGTAAAAAACACACCGAAAACACTTTTTGATGAATTTTGAGGAGTTTCAAATATTGAAGTGTTTCTAAAATAAGAAAATGCATGCTAATGTTAAGAGTATTAGGAATCATAAAAAAGTTCACATAATAATCAAATATAAAATAAATTTAATACAATAATAACAAGTAAGATAATAAACACATTATAAAAATTACTTTTGTATATGAAGGAAGTATTACTTTACGTTATAATGTTATAAAATGAAAATTTTATATTTCTTATCGAGAATAGAGAAAGTCAACATTCAACAAAGATCATTATTTTTGGGGGATGAATGAACTATCCAAAATTGATGGAGGTGTTAATGGACATTCAATATAATATACTAAAAATGAATTTTAAATAGACTAGACAAATTTCAATATATTAAAATTAAATCTTATACAATTTGATGAGGTAGATGGTGGTGATTCAAAAAAGACAATTTAACTGGTTGAATGGTATAACTTTGACCCTTCAAATGAGAGATATCAGGTTCATTACGTTGAAAAAAGTATGTATGAATAGATATTATTACGTACATTGTAATAGAGTTAATAATATTCAAAAAAACTGGTTTAATTGTGTTCTCAATCACCTTCCGTAGCTAACATTAGAGACTAGAGAGGTCTTAATAGATATAATGGGTTTTTAGTGAGTATAATAATATGGGAAGTGAGAATTGACGAGGGTTGAGAAAGCTAGGATATATATGATATGATGAATTCCACTCGTCACAGACCTTATACATGTGCCGCATAACATTAATTATGGAGTTTTATCATAAATTAATAGTTTTAATTTCTCATACAGACATACACAAATCCATGACACATGATACACCTAGCCACCTAGGTAGATCTAGAGAAGCAAAGTGAGCTAGCTACTAATAATTAAGTAATTAAAAAGATGCATTGTCCGTAAATTTTTAGTTTGTTCTGATCAGTTATAAACAACTTATACTTGTTTAATTATCTCGTTATAATTCATAACAAATTAGGATCACAAGACAAAGTTTACCTAATACACAGTCATCTTTGATCGTGGTTGCAGGTTTTCTTCGTCATTCAGAATGCCTATATATACATGCAGGCTTGGGTGAGTAAACGAATCAAATTAAACAATCATTTCAACAATGGCGACTTCCTTGTTGCTAACCGCTTTGCTTCTCCTCCCTTTAGCCATTGCCGCCAACTCCGCTCCCCTTCCCGCCTTCAAAAGAATCTACCAATTTGGCGATTCCCTTTCCGATACCGGAAACTTACTCCGTTGGGGCAAAATGTTTTACCCTGCCGACCGCCTCCCGTACGGCGAAACCTACTTCCGTAAAGCCACCGGTAGGTTCTCCGACGGCCGCCTCATCCTCGACCACATCGCCGCCGCACTTAAGCTCCCGTTCATTGACGCGTACCTGAACCCCAACGGCTCATTCGCTCACGGCGTTAATTTCGCCGTCGCCGGAGCAACGGCGAACGACCTAGATTTTTTCACCAAGAGAAACGTCACCATGCCCACCTTCAAACCCCCGATTAGCCAACAACTGAAGTGGTTCGAAGCGCACATTAACTCCACGTGCCGCGCACGCCGACGCCGCAGAGCGTCGTGCTCCGCAAGATTCGGAACTAACTCTCTCTTCATTTTCGGAGAGTATGGCGGCAACGACTACTTCCCCGCCTTCCAGCAAGGAAAGTCCATCGATGAGGTCAAGTCTTACGTTCCGTACACCGTCGCCGCCATCGTCCGAGGAATTAAACGGATCGTCAAGTTCGGAGCAAAACGGATCGTGGTTCCCGGCCCCGTTCCATTCGGCTGCATGCCGTCTCAACTCGCCGCTTCCGCCGCCGTCGCCGATCCAACCGATTACGACGAATTCGGATGCCTGAAACCCTACAACAGCTTCACTTCCTACCACAACCGCTATTTACGCGCCCTTGTGTCTTCTCTCCACCGAGAATTCTCCGGCGAGGGTGTTGTGATCGTTTACGCCGATTATTACGGCGGTTTCATGGATATTCTCCGGAACGCGACTCAGCTCGGATTCGATAAGGGGTCATTGCTTAAAGCGTGCTGTGGAACAGGTGGGGAGTATAAGTTCGATCACCTCCGGCCTTGTGGAACCGACGGCGTCGGGTCGTGCTCGGAGCCGGGCAGGGCCGTGCACTGGGACGGTGTTCATCTCACCGATGCAGCGTACCATCATATTTCACAGTTTGTGATTGATCAAGTGTTTAGCAAGCTTGTGTTTTAGGTGTTGCATGGTGGATTTAGTGATTGATCAGAAATAAACCCTAATGACATGCTGGGAGCCTGGGACAGTGTCCTAATAATAACTCAAGTTGATTTGATAGTTGACTTAATAATCATATATAAGATTTCAAATTCTATTCATCTCATAATCCATAACAGACCGTTTGGTTCACGGAATGTTAGGTTACCTTGAGGAATGTTAGATAATTTTAAAATATTAGCTACAATTTTGAACTTGAGAAACAAAATTATTTTAATTATATGCTAACATAACGCAATAAAAATAAATAAATAAATAAATATATATAATTACAAAAATAATTATATATACAAGCTAACATAAAATATATATTTTTAAATAATTAGAATTAAAATGGCAAAATTTATAAATATCCAAGGTTATCTTACATAACATAAGAAAGGGAAGGGAATCACATTCCCTTGAAAATCCTATGTGGAAGGAATGTTAAATTCCGTGAGAATGTTGTATTTCCTAGGACAATATAACCAAACATAGAAATGTAACATTTTGAATGTCACATTCCATTGATTATGTTATATGATTAACCTGAACCAAACGCCGCATAAGAGTTGATCAAGTATGAATGCTCTTCACCTAGAGGTCACTTGATTTCTAAAATAGGTTTCTTCTTGGGCCAGGATGGTTAGTTGAATGGTTTATTATATGTTTCTATTCTAAGTTAAGGATAAAGTTTTTAGGGTTTGAAGTTAGAAATTGGAATGTCTTGTTAGGAAGTCGATGGACTAAGTTTTGGGATGTATTGTGAAATCTTGAACTATAGTGTATATTTATTATGGAATAGAGTTAATTCCATTAAAGGTCCCTTGTTTTTTGTAGCAATTTTAAATTTAGTCTCAAACTATCGTTTTTGTCATTTAACATCACCGACTATTATTTTTTGGACACTTTTAGTCCGTCTCATAACTTTTCCCATTTTAGTAATGACATTTTTGTTTCTTTATATTTTTCTTTTGTTATTTTTTCCGGTTTCAACTAGTTTAGGACTTTGCTAAAAATCGGTTGAAAAATATGGTTACTAAAAATTAGAGGATGCCTAAAGTTCTAAACCAGTTGAAACTGAAAAAATAACAAAAGAAAAATATGAAAAGATAAAAATGCCCTTACTAAAAATAGAAAAAGTCATGAAAATGACTAAAAGTGTCCAAAAAATAATAGTCTAGGATGTCAAATGGCAAAAACGATAGTTTTGGACTAAATTTGAAATTGCCACCAAAGACAATGGATCTCTAGTGAAATTAACTCGTTGGAATATTATTATGGTTCATAATATAATTAAGAGTAAATACCACCTATGGTCCCTGGAGTTTGGTGGGATCACCTTTGGTGGCATCACCAACAATGGTCCCTAACTTCCGTAATTACCATCCATCATCCTCCGAGTTGCAAAAAGTTACCTTCTGCCGTCCTTCCTTACTTCTTCGCGTCTCGGCCGTCAAGTGTGAGGTTACTATAGTCATTTGGCTTATACGAAATCAAAGTCTCCTGATTTTTACGATAAAGACAAAAACTCGGTCTTTGGCTTTTAGCGCTATTTTGGGTGTTTCTTGCTAGAATCCCAGAGCACGTGATTTTTGTCCAGTGAATAAAATGAAGGTCTCTTGCAACCTGACTTTGTCCGGAGCCGGGAGGAATCCCGGTGTCCCGTCTGTCTCAAGATCCTTGGGATCGAAAGACACGTTCTCTGACGTCGGAGTTGCTCTTGGTGGGCGAAATAGTGTCACTAAACCTCCTACCCCAACCGTTGGGCCCTTCCACAACTCTAGGAAGCTTGAAGGTGATGAGTGCCGGATCAAGGAGTTTGACTCCATTAATGGCGTCGTGGTTCTTGGAGTGGACGATGACTTCGTCTTCTTGGTACGTTTGCCGGCCATTTTCCGAGAATGCGTTTAGTGGTTGGTTTGGCTGAGTCGTGGGGCGTGAACTGCAAACCTGAGGCCCTCCTGAACGGGCATGTAAGTTCTGGTTTGGGAAGGAGGAAGATAGGGATGTTGTTCTTTCCGGTGACCCCTATGCTCTCTTTGGTAAACGTCTCTTTCTTCGTACTCCGTCGGAAAACTTCAGGCCGGGGTATGACGATTATAAACATTTGCCAGTTTGGGTGAGGCTGCCGGGATTGCCGAAGACTTGCTAGCACTAGAATGCTCTTGGGAAGATTTCTTCATGTATTGGGAAGTCGTTGTATAAGGATTGGTTTACGAAGGAGATGAAAAAGCTTGCATTTGCCCGTCTCTTATTGGAAATTGATTGTTCTGCGGATCAACCCGATCACATTACTGTCAAACTCCCTAATGGCGTCTCATTTGAGAAACCCATCACCTTTGAGAATCTGCCTCTGTTTTTCACTCACTGTGGAAGCATCAGACATGTTACTGAAGATTGTTCACTGAGTTCTGTTGGCAAAAATTTGAAGGATAGAGCAGAGGCTTACACTGATGGTGTTCAACAAACTGTGTGCCCAGTTGTGGAGGACAACATCATTGCTTCGTCTGGTAAGAACGACTGCTCGCCGGATAATGCCCAAGTTCCCCCGTTAGTTGTTGAACATGTTTGTGCGGATAAATCTCATGGTGTGCCGGAGGGTGTGGGCTGTTCCCACGATGGGGATACCCGTGGTTCAAAGTCGAAGGAATCCGGTGCTAATGGTAATGATGTGCCACTGGAAAATTATTCCTGCATAGGTGATTCTACGTTTGAGAACCAACCAGCTGATGCGTTTGGGGTCAGGAATATTTCTGGTATTCCGTACACAAGCAAGCAGAATATAACAAAAAGGAAGAATAAGAAGAAGGTGGCAGGCGGAGGCAAAGACTGTTCTGCCGAGGATGCTTCTCTCCGGTGGGATTTTTAACTCTGCTATCTGTGCTTGCTTCTAGTTGCTTTAAGTTTCTGGTGTTTTTTACTGTGTCGGTGGGTTCTCCGACGAGTTTATGTTCGCTTAAAACAGTTTGCTTGTCGTTTTTCCGGCGGAAACAGTGCCTCCGATGTTTTTTCTGTCGCTGGCTTGCATCTTGTAGGTTGGCGGTGGCCTTGTGTTCTTTGTCTTGGTTTCCGACGAAAATTCTGTTTGGTTTTTGGTGGTTCTGATCGTTGCAGCATTCTTGTCGTTTTTCCGGTGTGAATGGGTAGCCGGATTCCCCTTCCAGTTGTCGTTGTTTGCTGGAAGGTTAAATGCTTAGTCGCCGGAGCCTTTGATTTTGTATTTAAAAGCGTCAAATGACTATACTAACCTCACATCTAAAGGCCAAATGACTATAGTAACCTAACACTTGACGGTCGAGACGGGAATAATTAAGTAACGGAAGGACGACGGAAGGTAATTTTTCGCAACTCGGAAGATGACGGATGGTAATTACGGAAGTAAGGGACCATTGTTGGTGATGCCATCAAACTCGATGGACCATAGGTGGTATTTACTCTATAATTAAATATGCTTGTGTTTCTTTAATTTATAATTGGAAAAAAGTCAAATTGGTCCAAAACTTTAAAAAGTTTTAATTAAACACTCAAACTTGTTGTTGTTGTTACATAAGATTTATAAATAATATTATTCAATATCAATTGCAATATTGTAAAACCCCCCAAGCCTTCGTCCCCAAAAGCAATCTATCGCTAATTTTGATTCAATTTTCTGTCGTCGACGTCAACTAACAATCACAGTGACCTGAATCGGTCATCTTCCTCGCCTCGTTGAGGCGTCTATGGAGGTGGGTGGTTTGCCTCAAGAATCGGTGGATGAAGTGATCGATCCTGTCCGCGAGATTTTGTTGGAGTTACGACGTAAAGGCTACACGCTCTCCTCGTTGGCGATCAAACGACTCCAGGCGGGCGACGACCCTCCACAACCTTCCAGAACCGCCGAAGAGCCGCATCAATTTATATATATTCAAATACATATACATAAATAAGGGTCAAATAGAAAATAAAATGTATAACATATTTCTGAGAACTCAGGAATGACTTAAAACCAGGTGAGGGCCAGTAATATAGCTATTCCCTGATAGTTCATTCCTAGATTTCTGGGAATACAAGTTCTTACCAAACAACAGAATATGCCTATTATTGGGAATACTATTCTATTTCAGATCTATTTTGCGAATCAAATGTGTCATAAATGTAATTATCAAGAAAACATGGGACCGCTGATGAAAATGAAGCATTGCAGAACCCTTTTGTTTTTTCAGAGAAGAGGAAGGTAGTGCAAAAAAAAAAAAAAAAAAAAAAAAGATTCTATATTCGTCTGCCCTGCCATCACTGCAGCACTAGTTTGTACTGAACCAACACTCACATAAACACGTTTAATTATTTAGTGATACAACACGTGTCTAAATTACCCAGATTGTTTAGCACCAAATAAGATTACGTGTCATCAGCTAAGTTCACCAACCTAAATGTTTCTTAAAACAACCCAACTACTTTTTAAAGCCAACTAACTTTCAACTGCGTTTCTTGAACCAACTAACTCAACTACGTTATTTATTCGTTTAACGGGACGTTTGGTTAAAAAAACATTACAATTCCATTTGTACTTAATTCCCATATAATTTCTAAAGCAGACCCTTTTTTTCGTTTGGCTAGCGATGAAATTGTAATTTCGTCGAATTGTGGGAATTTTTTCTCTTTTAATTTTTTAAGTCTAAAGTTGATGTTTGACGGAATTGTAATTATGTGGAATCGAAAAAATTCTACCTCTTTTTAAGTTTAAAATTGATGTTTGATATCTCTCTTTCGATTATAATTGTATGTATATGGAAGTTATTATCGGTTTCTACCCCAAAAAATAAAGATTATGTGCAATAATTTAACTTGCCTTATTGTTTACATAATTATAAACATAAAATAGAGTCAATTCCATTTTTGGTCCTACTGTTATAGGGGCGTTTTTAATTTCAGTCTACTTTATTTATTTTTTTTTTGTCACTTTACAACCACTGTTATTGAATGTGTTTCACTTTTAGTCC